CAAGGGTGTAATGAGGAGACAGCCATCTGCAAGCCAAGGAGAGAGGTCGCAGGAGAAACCAACCCTGCTGACGCCTTGATCTTGGACTTCCAGCCTCCAGAACTGTGCAAAAATAAAGTTTTGTTGTTTAACCCGTCCATTCTGTGGCATTTTGTTATGGCAGCAAATGACAAGTCAAGAAAAAAAAAAATCATTGCTATGAAATCAGAAAAAAAGATAAAGAGTGAGACAGACATATTCACACAGAGAACAGAACACATGGGAGATGTAAGACACACAGACACTGCGAGACACTACATTATAAAATAGCATTTTGTGGTCTTTTTAAAAATTGTTGCTTGAGTTTCTTCTACTATTTATATAGGGGCATCTTAGGACTTGAATAAACTTAAAGTCACGATTCCATTTTCAGGTCATAGATTCCCATGCCCTGGTTTAGAGAGTCCTCATTCAGAAAACCATCAATGTGTGTTCATGAAATTGCCCTTGGATAGGGGCATCTTAGGACTTGAATAAACTTAAAGTCACGATTCCATTTTCAGGTCATAGATTCCTATGCCCTGGTTTAGAGAGTCCTCATTCAGAAAACCATCAATGTGTGTTCATGAAATTGCCCTTGGATTTTTTAACCCTTCACTTATCATGCTTCTAACAGATGTCTTCATTCTCCCTTGAGCTCCATTAATTTTCTTGATAATCTTTGTACCATTACAAAAATAGTTGCTGTCCTATCACATTTGGGGCAAACTACATGATGGTCCCTTTGGCTAGAGCTCTTCAAATAAAAAATAACGCACACAGTTTGGGGCAAAGGTGATCAGCACGATTTACACAGGACACAGTAACAGCACTAAAGCATTGCTTCAGAGAAAAGATGAATTTCAGTGGAGAATTATCTTAGGAATGAAAAAGGTCCATAGTAAAATCCCACATGTTTTCATCAAAATTAACCCAATAATTTACTGAAAAATGGCAATTCAACTCTATGTCCAATTTCACAAATACTCACAGTACGATAATGCTGAATTATCGATGATCGTTCAGGGAAATTAACCACACTGTAGTCACGAGCCGAACGGGAAGACCTTGGCAACACAATTCGTCTCAAATCATAGAATGCTTTGTCTGTTAGAAATATTGATGTAGGTTAAAACAATATTTATCCAGGAAAAGTACACACTGATCATATGGCTTAATGTTACAAGGAGGAAAGCAAATCATCTTTATGAGCTCACTATTCTGTATTAAAATCACATCTTGTCATCTCATCAGAGAGAGATGAAGTGATTGCATTGCACAGAAAGAAGCTTCAATTAATTGTCTCCTTCATACAGCAAAGCTCTCATGTTTTTATTGCATACAGTGTGCTCATCAGAGAACTAATAGGTTCACCCTCTTTACTCTCTTCTCTTCGAGAACATTGCCTTCTTTTTTCAAAGGAAGCTTAAAGCAAAATCGTATTTGTGAATAGCACTTACAGAAATAAAAGGAAAACTGTTTTATAAGTACTTTAAAAGAAAATTCAGAATTATTATGAAAGCACAAGTTTTGAAATTTCAAAGTAAATAAAATTACTAAAAGTGTTTAAGGTAAATAGGTTGAAAGAGCAAAAGGTTAGCCAGAATATACCTACATATTTCCTCTGTCTCACAGCAATTGTTACATTAGATTTCTGCAGTTATCTTCTTCTTCTTTTTTTTTAATGATGGGGTGGAGATTTAAGATTTACTTGTCCATTTATTTACCATATATATTAATTATTTTAAAAAGGGATTCAACCCTGCCATCCAAATGAATCGAATTGTTTTCACATTCCCAGTTCTCTTTCTAATATTTATTCGCATACATATATACTTTTCTGAAACTTTCAGTTTAATAGAGTCACCTGTGGACTGGTTAATTTCATATAAATTTAGAGGAAACTCAGAAGTAATCAATTCTTTCATTTCATTGCTTCAATTTATTTACAGGATCATAAGATGAGTGTCTTATAGGGAGACAAAGAAGTAAAATAAAATAATAAAAAGGAAAGGTTATCTCAGAGACATCCTAAACAATACATAGACATCCCTACTGCATTTTAATTTTATATGTATTTTTCCCATTGCAGTCAAAAATCTCTGCCCTCTATCAAAAAGGCAAAATCTCTGGAAGAGGCAACATAATAAATCATATATTTCAATCACAACTCAATGTAAATAAATGAAATTATTTAATGGAAGCAAATGCCAATAACAGGAGCTATAGAGAACCTGAGAATCTTAATATCTGAAAAGAAGATAGCAAGGAAAAGACAATACACTTTATACTTTAATTGGAGATCTGTATAAACTCAAGGAGATATAAAAGGATAATGCAAGTTATTAGAGATGCGTAAATCTTCACATTTCTTACAAAGCTTAACTAAATCAAAGCATTCTCCAACTCATTGGCACTATCCCTGACCTACCCACCACCCTTAATGCACTTCTACAATAAGTGCTCACACATATTTTAAATGATTGTGCTTCTCTTTCCAATCTCCTTTTTAAATTTATAAACGCTTTCAGGACAAGAACAATATCTCACTTGGAATTGCTCTGTTTCTGGTTCATTAGCAATGCAAGTAAGGTAGCTGTGTAAACACTGTTGAATAAGAATTGGTCTCCAGAGGTTAAATCTCACAGGCAAGGAGGGGATCTTTCTGATCACTGAAGAGCCCAACCCAATATGAAACTAAAAGCCATACAACTTATTTTTCCAAGAGAGTTCAGAGTATTTTCAAATATTATATATCTTGTTTACCCACAAAATAGACTCATGTAGTCAGGAAGGCCATGCATTATTTTCTCTAGTATATAGGTATCACCAAAGAAAGAAAATATAGCTATAACTTTTCTACTTCAGCAAGCAGTAAAGCTTCCACTAAAATCCTCCAGGTTATCATTCACACACTGATGTATGCTAATGACTCCTCCTCAGAAGCCAGGCACAGAAGGTGACATGCAACAAATTCAAGTTTATTCCACAAAGTCAGTCGAAAGTTATAAGCTGACAGTGTGAAGAAGACCAAAGTCATACATCAGACTTAATCTTCACAAGCCCTTCCTGGAGTCAACAATCTTCACAGATAATACCACAGAGAAGAGTCTGAATTCTAGGGGTGCAGGGAGGTGGGAAGGATGAGAGGAAGGTAGCTGGGGGGATCTGGGACGGAGCTCCGGCAGAGGAAACACGCCCTTTCTGTTCCCATGTGTGGCCTTATGAAGAGGGGAGGACAAGTTCTTGTGTGCTGGGACTGGAGGGGATCCTCTGAGTCATCCATCTGGTCCAACTTCACTCCAGAAAGGCATCTTCTTGTCACCTGGCTGCCTGGTTGCTGTCACCTCTGCTTGGATGTGCCCATGCTGGGGAGCTCACTCCTCTGCTGATGCTACTGTGTATGAGCTTCTTTTTGGTAAACATTCTCTGTTCCTTTGTCTAGTTCTTGTTGTCACCCCAAGTCCTGCTCGGTCCCCATTTTCCCATGCCTTCACTTAGTTAGAATTCTAACAAAGTGACCACCTCTGGGATTTCTCTTTTTCCTTCCTTTGGGGCCAGTAACAATGTCCCAGGGTCTCTTGGTTCCCTGCTGGGTTCACACCTTCCTTCTTGGGGCATGTCCTAACCTTCTTCTGTATGACTCCCCTTCACAAGAGCAAAGTCTCTCTTCTCTACCCTCTCTGCCCCACTGGGCAGCTCCATCATTTCAGAGCCTGTTCTCTGCTGGGGCAAATGGACTACTTCTGTGCTGTTGGCTTGGGCATCTCTTGGAGCTGTCTTGCCCGTATTCTTTTCAGTACCTGGATTTTGCTAGATGATTTCTAAGGAGACTTACTGTGTTGACTTATTTTCATCACTCACACATTACCTTCCATTTCTTCCTTACCTCCACCAACCCAGATGTTCTCCCTGGCTCTGTCCTCCACTGGCTCAGCTCTCCTCTCTTCTAGCCCCATTCTGCCTGTCAGAGATTACATCTGTGGTCATTCTATTTGCAACAGCTGTAAATGATCACCACTGTCTATCCCTAACCTGGACTTCTCTAATGGATATATTATTTTGATCAACACATGAGGCATTACAGTTATCAACTCAAACTCTGTGTGTGAGAAATGGAACTCATTTCTACCTTCTCAACACAATCACTCTTATATCAAACACTTAAGGTTACTTTTCCCATCTGTACAGGGAAGATCATATTAACTTCTAGGGGGTTTGATGTGAAGATTGATGGAATTTACACACGCCAAGGATTTGCACTGAAGTAATGCCCTCTTTCTAAGAGCAGGACCGACACCACTCAAGATAGCCACTCCATTGTGTGAAAGTTAGGTGGGAAAGTGGGGGTGGGACGGGAGGAGTTCCACTAACTGCAAAATTAGCTCATGTACTGTTGGCTTGCTTGCATTGGCTAATACCTCTTGGCACGGTGATCGGGCGACCGACTTGCTGCGCTTGCATCTTTTAAAACCTAGAACAAAGATGGTTTGCACCGCACCTTGAATTGGCTGGTATGATCCCAGCCACTGGAAATAAAAATCTTTTTCTCTTTTTCTATATCAGTCTCCAAGGGTGATTTTCTTCCAATGCCTATAACATTTGGGAGCTCATCTGGGATCACTATCACCCCTCGGGGGCCGACCTACAGTGCTGGGATTTTTCCCCACACTGCGAAGTCTCTAGGGGGGAGCTCCTGAGAAGACATTCCTCAGCCCCTGAGGCACACGATCTTCTGCTGGCCAGCTTAGGATTTTCTGGGACCTCTAGATTTGGGTGAGTCAGCTCTTTTTGGTGGGGGACCAGGCCAGACTGGCAACGCCTCTTTTCCAGACCCAGCGAGACGTCACTACAGTCCACTTGCTGGCCTCTCTTGGTGGCCAAACTCGTGTATTGTCTTTGTGTTTGTCTTTATATTAACCTCGTGGTTTATGTTGTTGTGAGTCTGTCCAACTTCAGGTTTTTTTGCCCTTCAGGTCACCATGGGACAAGGATCCTCTAAGCCGACAGTCCTGAAATGCTTTCTCACAAATTTTAAAACTTTTCAGAAGAAGGCATTTGATTTCAGTGTGTCAGTCTCATTGGATGTTTTAAGAATTTTATGTGAAATAGACTGGCCAGATTTTGATGTTGTCATTTTAGGGAAACCCGGGCACCCAGACCAGATTCCCTACATCCAAATCTGGATCGAAATTTTAACCATTCCACCCCCTTGGTTAGAGAAATGTTTTCCAGAAGTCAAGAAACCACATCTGCGAGTGATGCGAACCATTTTCCTGGCCAGACTGCCCTCCCGGCCTCAGAAGCCTGTACTCCCCTCGACCCCTGATGAAGAAGATGTAGTTCAGCCACCCCCTTATGCAGACAACTCCCAGTGGATGAACAACCCCCTTCTTTCGCCTTCTCACACCTGTTCGAGCGCCCCTTATTCCCCTGAACTCTCTTCACCCTCTGGCTCTTCTCATTCCTCTTCTTCTCCCCTAGCCCACCTTTTTCCCTTGCACGAGACCCCAGGACCCCAGGGACCTTTCATGGTTTATGTTCCCTTTACTACTAGTGACCTGTATAACTGGAAGAATCAGAACCCCTCCTTTTCAGCGGAACGTCTAGGATTAATCTCGCTCCTCGAGTCTGTCTTTTTTACTCATCAGCCCACCTGGGATGATTGTCAGCAGTTGCTGCAGACCTTATTTACCTCCGAGGAGCAAGAAAGAATCTGGCAGGAGGCACGGATGGCCATACATGGGTCTGATGGCCATTCCACGGATGATCCTGACTGCATATCCCTTGTCTTCCCATCAGTCCGTCCTGAATGGGACCCTAACACAGATAGAGGTAAGGAGGCCCTCTCGGTATCACCAGACTCTGCTGCAGGGTATCCGAGCAGCAGCCCGGAAGCCAACCAACCTCTCTAATGTTAGTGAATAACTCAACAGCCAAACGAATCCCCCAGTGCGTTCCTTGAGCGCCTCCTGGAGGCTATTCAGGTCTATATACCAATTGACCCAGAGGCACCTGAAAATAGGCGAGCTATCAATCTGGCCTTTGTAACTCAATCAGCGCCAGACATTAAGCGTAAGTTACAACAATTAGAGGGCTTTGAAGGCAAGGTTCTCTCTGAGCTGGTTGAGATAGCCCAAAAGGTTTACCATAACTGTGACCCACCCAAAGATAGACAGCTAAGGAGGTTAACAAAAGTCCTCCTCCTCTGTCCAGAACAACCCAAACAAGAACAACAGAGAAGGAAGCCCCATGGTATTGGCCCAAATAGACACTCACCTCTGGACAAGGACCAATGTGCCTACTGTAAGGAAAAAGGCAATTGGAAGAGGAATTGTTCTCAGCTAAAAGATAAGACAGGTTCCAAGGCCATCTTACACATGTCACAAGATTTGGACTATTGACGAGGCCAGGGCTCCATGAAAAGTTGCCCCTGGGAGCCCAAGGTAACACTAAAAGTAGGAGGCAAACCCGTGTCATTTCTCATTGACATGCGGGCAACATATTCAGTGATCCAGAAACCTGAACAGCCCAGTTCTAAATTGCTAATTCCCATCCAAGGAGCAACTGGAAGGATTAAACTTTGCCCTTGGACTGATGCTCGACTTACAGACTTAGGAAGGAAGACTGTTACACATTCTTTTCTCCTTATGCCAGATTGCCCCTACCCCCTATTGGGTAGAGATGTGCTTCATAAATTGGGAGCCACCATCACCATTGGGCCTGCTTCTGCAAATCTCCAACTAAATGGGAAAGTCACAAACCTAACGGTAACCATGCCTTTACAGGAAGAATATAAACTTTTAGAGACTGAAATTCTTTATTTTTTTTTTCCTTTTTGTCTTTTTTACTGACCGGTAACGGGATCGCAACCCTCAGTGTTGCGCCCGCACCATGCTCAGCCAGTGAGCAGGAACCGGTCTCCACATGGGATCCGAACCCTCGGCGGGAGCGCCGCCATGCTCCCAAGTGGCGCACTCTCCAGTGCACCACCGGGCTGGCCCGAACTGGGGATAGAGACTGAAATTCTAGACAACCCAACCCAACATGAAAAAGGGTTATTGGCTATCTACGTGAAAGTAATACCAGATGTGTGGGCGGAGACTAACCCCCCAGGCTTAGTGAAACACCAAGCCCCTATTGTGGTGCAACTAACTAGTTCTGCCACACCAATTAGGGTGAAACAATACCCTATTCCCTTGAGGGCTAGAGACTGTATAGCCCCACACATAAACAGACTCATAAAAGAAGGCATTTTGATTCCATGCCAATCTAGTTGGAACACTCCCCTGCTGCTGGTCCAAAAACCTGGTACAGGGGACTTCAGACCTTTACAGGATCTCAGAGAAGTTAATAAAAGAGTGGAAACTGTCCATGTCACCATTCCAAATCCCTATACGCTCCTCAGTCTCCTACCACCTGACCATACGATATATACAGTGTTGGA